CCATGGACTTTGTGACGAAAGTGATAGAGATGGAGCAATATGCTCTGGCACTCGTCCCGCTGAGGAGGACGAAGGGGCTGGAAGCCTAAGAGCAAGAGACGTGAAAGCAGGGGCCGTCGCAGATCGCTCGAACAGGATGAGTGAGAGCGTCGGACTGCTGAAGCACGCCACTGATCCCCTTGATCCATGCGTTCCCAGCATGTTTATCTTATCAGATAAGATCCCGGCGGGTCCGAGGTCGGGTCGTCGCAGCACGTGATTGAAACGCGGTGGCGTCAAGTCGCGTCGTGGCCAAACTTGGTCGCGCGTTCCGAACAGACAACGTCCCGGGTCTGAGCCCTTCCCTACCACTGTACACAAGCTGCTCGGGGGAAGTTGGTCGCTTTCGCCACAGTTGCACATATGACTAGGAGCGCGGTGCTTACCATGAAGACAACAAACGCCAGAAAGCGGAAATCAACCGGTGGCATCAACGATGGCAAGGCCACTGGTGATTCAACAAATAAGAGGCGCAGGACTATCGACACTTTCTTCTCGCCTCAGGTCACATTGGTCTCAAAGACAGCACATGAACTCACAGCGAGTTGTGAGCACGTCACGCTCAATGCTGAGCAGGTACAAGTGCTCCGAATGGTGGTTCACGAAGAGAAGAGCGTATTCTTCACCGGCGCAGCTGGTGAGTCGAGCTCCTTTGCCCTCCCCGCGACCCTTGGTGCAAGGGCAGAGTATGTCCCCTGGGTGGCATTTTGATATATCAGGCGCCTCAAAGGAGGACTTACTGCCCTGTCAGCAACAGCTCAGTGCATCCCTCGTCATGAAGCTGCCAGATCCAAGGCGTTATATTGCGTGTGGTCACTTTGCTCGGTATTCAATGATAATTTCCCTCCAACGCAGGCACTGGAAAATCACTTCTTTTAAGAGCTATCATATCTGCTCTCCGCAGAAAATATGCCAAGAAGCCTGAAGTAGTGTCTGTGACTGCGAGCACCGGCATGGCTGCTTCGAACATCGGCGGTCTGTCCGTTTGATGATGCCACATAATCATCAGTTAACGGGGACAAACAGGCATGACCATCCACTCATGGGGTGCGGTGACTCCTGGGATGCATAATATTGACCGTCAGATAAGCTGTATCAAGACGTGTAAACCCGCGTTCAAAAGGTGGAAGGAAACTAAAGTCCTTGTCATTGATGAAGGTCGGGAAATCATGGCTGGATTATCTGTAGGCTTCTCTGACTTGCTTTGCGTGTAGTGTCAATGGTCGACGGTCAGCTTTTTGAAACCCTCGCAAAACTGGCCGAGCAGCTCCGGAAGAGAACCGACAAACCATTCGGCGGGATTCAGGTAGCTACTGTACATCCGCGCATCTGAACGATGGGCGTGACTGACGAAAGGCAACCAGCTTGTGGTTACCGGAGACTTCTTCCAACTGCCTCCTGTAACAAAGGCAGGGGAAGAACCGTTCTTCGCTTTCGAGAGCGAAGCTTGGAAACGGTGCATAGACCACACCGTAACCCTCACCCAAGTCTACCGGCAGACGGATACCCGTGAGCAATTCTTCGCACTCTCGCTCAATCTGAACTCAGCGCATCCGCTGCAGAATTTGTCGAGCTCCTTAACGAGTTGCGCAAAGGCACTATCTCATCATCGGCGCAACACACATTCACTTCCCTCTCCCGCCCACTACCCCCACTACCGTCCGGTATCCTCCCGACCGAACTGTATCCTCTGCGTGCGCAGGTCGACCGCGCAAACAGCACGCGTCTAGCAGCGCTTCCTGGCGCCCTGCGCACCTTCGTCGCCCGTGACAGCGGTACGCACCAGAAGGTGCTCGAGCAGATGGTCGTTCCCGCCCAGCTCGTCCTCAAAGCGAACGCGCAGGTCATGCTCGTCAAGAATGTGGATGAACGGCTCGTGAATGGGAGTGTCGGACGCGTACTTGGCTTCTTCACCACTGCGAGCTGTCTTGCCAGCATCGGGCCCACGTCGTCTTTTGGACAGGACGGCGCAAAATCCCAGTCGACAGCAGGGCCATCGCCCGAATCGAGTGCAGCGCCGAAAGCCGGCGGTGCGATTCGCAACGTTCAAGTCGGACCTGACGGCCGTACGCCAATCTTCTTCTACCGGGATACGACGGGCAACAAGGAGAACTTGGGTGATGGGAGAGTAGCGTCCTCCGCAAAGGGCAAAATGAAGGACGAAGAGCGTTATCCACTCGTCGAATTCCGTACTCCGATGGGAACGGAGATTGTCCTCGTCGTCCGAGACGAGTTCCGTGTCGAAGACAACGAAGGGAAGCTGCTTGCTCGCCGTGTGCAGGTAGGTTTTCCAGTATGTATTCTACGCTTCGCTGCAGCTCATTCTTCCCAGGTCCCTCTCGTCCTGGCGTGGGCGATGTCAATACACAAAAGCCAAGGCCAGACGATTCAGCACGTGAAGGTCGACTTGCGCAGTGTCTTCGAGAAGGGTACGATACTCGGGCCCATAGCTGTCTCTCGAAGCGGTAACTGACGATACGTCCTACAGGCCAAAGTTACGTCGCCTTGTCCCGAGCGGCATCTCTGGACGGATTACAGGTACTGGGCTTTGATCCGAAGAAGGTGGGTCTGTGCTTTACTTACCCGTATCTGTCGGCATCGCTGACCGCGATGTCATATTTTTATAGGTCAAGGCCCATCCAAAAGTGATAGAGTGGAGCTCAACATTAGAAACTCGTGCTGCTCCGGAGGCGTCGTGATGAGCGTCATCACCGGAGTAGTTTGAGAACGAACAGGATCTGCCCTAGATTACACTGTACATGTAAGTCCGTAGTGTAGAGCAGCATATTCAGCGTTTGAGCCGCATGCGAACACCGCGTCCATGCAGCTGATAATATTGCAAAACATCAACATGCATTATGACACTACGTCTGCAGATAAGACCAAGTGGTGTGGCACAATGAAGCTAATCTACAGTCCTGAACTCCGGCGAGGCTTTTGCTGGGTGAATACAAGAAGGGGTGATGATATACGCGCATTAGGTGCCGTGTAAGGGAGGACTTGGAGCTATAGCAGGGATACAACATGTACATGAGCAGATGACAGACCAGCAGGCACATAGGCAAAAACAGCATGAGCTTCGCTATGGCTCCCAAGAAGGGATATCGTTGCCGGTAACATACGTCGGCGTGCGTTCTACTCCACTAGGGCCCACTGATGAGCCGGTACAGGGCGCGTAGCTGGTGCCGGAAACAGCATGAGTGAACGACCAGCAGGCCATGTAACTATGACTTACGTTGCTGACTAGTATCCTGGCGGTAGGGTATCATGCTCCACTTCTCCTCCTTCATCTTCTCTACGCGCTGCTTGCTCAGCCTGAACCGGATGCGCGTCTCGTACTGGACTAACTCCTGCGCCGTCAGGATGAAGAACGACCCTGGCGCAGGGTCTGGACTTCTCAGTGTTGATCCAGTAGTCGAGAGCGCGCATCACTGCGGGAATCGTCTTCGCGTCGACGTGCAACCAGGATGGGAGGACGGGAGGATGCTCCGACAGCTTCTCGCATAATTTTTTGGCGACCGACATGAGCCTGCACGGAGTTCAGTCTCAGCAACTCGTATGTGACGTGACCAGTCAGTAGGAAAAGCGTATCGATCGTAGCAGTAAGGCGGCATTACCCCTGCGCAAAACATGTACATCAGCGTCGCCTTGATCTCCGCTCGCGCGGCAGAGTCAGTGGCATTGCTGAGAGCGTGGAGAAGCATGAGCATGCACAAGTCGCGAGTGATAGCCGTCGGGTGAATGTCGAGGAGAGTGAGGTGTGCGTGGAAGGCAGAGGCCTTCGCCAAAGGAAGCTTCTTGTACGCTTGATACAGCCGAACGATGGTGCCCAATGGGTGCCGTCCTGCAGCATAGACCTTCAGCGCTGGTCTTCAGTGGCAAGCTGAGAAGGTGAAGGATGCTCACCGTCGCCGACACCTCCGCACAGGAAGCAAAGATGGCGCAACTCATCGAGCGGGAGCTCATCTGCAGGTAGTGTGTCATTAGATCTGATCCAGTGCGTCACCCGGCAACTCGAATAGCGTACTTAATAATATTCCTTTGCATCATCTCTTCCGCAGAAATTAGCCTATCGAATCGATGCGGACATGAACCTGACCTACAATGGTTTCATGAAGAGAGGCGTCTTAGATAGTTCTCGCAGGCAGACATCGCTTTTTTGCGCCCTGGTTTTAGAGTCCGACTCAATGGTTTAAAAGGTCTGCAGAACTCTCGAGAGCTCATCTGCAGCGGCTGCTGCAGACCCCGTGGGCGAGAACGCAGAGATACGCTCTTTCAGCTCCTCGAAATCCGCGAAGTACTTCCTCAAAGCGTGCAGTGAGGCAAGACTCGACGCAACGGAGAAGGAGAGCGCCTTGGCGAGCCTTTCCAACAGTCGGATGAGGAGATCAGGCTTGTGTTCCGCATCTGACCGGTCTCGCAGTACCTTCCACGCGCTTACAATGGTGGCAGCGTAGCCAACATAATCTCCCGCCACGAACAAGGCCGTACTGAGGTTCGACGGATAGAGAGGATCTTTCGGATCAGATTTCTCTGCCTGTGCACGCGGACAATGTCAGAATTTTCTTCACGCGCAAGATTGCAACCCCCCTCTGAGATCGTTCTTACCTTACGGTAAAGATCTATTGCTCTTGAAAAGATGGGGTAAATGAGACGTCCTGTTGTTCCATTACATCCATGTACACTTGAATTTGAAAAGCGGCCCGTCCTGAAGGCGTCGCTGCATCGCTGTTTGAACTATTGGGCGACTTTCGCGTTCAACGCCATGGGTACGACGTTAGGATATACAGTAGTCCGGTATTGTACCTGCCCTAATCGCGCTGCGTGACGCAGGTGGGCCTCGTTTCTTGAGGCCAACCCTAGCCGACCGGTTCCTTCGCTCCATGAAGCCTCAGGGAATGTGCATTCAGCACGATTGCGAGGCGACTCGATGTCAAAAGCTGGACAGAAGAAAAAAACTGCTGCCCCGGTGAGGCTCGAACTCACGACCTTCCGATTGTTGCTCTGATAACAGTCGGACGCTGTAACCAACTCAGCCACGGGGCATCTAGCTATAGGGCTCTGCCTAAATATGATGGATAGATCGCTTTTCCCCCGGCGGACGGAATGAGGAGGATGGGATTCGCGCGAAGGCTTCTGAACTTGGTTTCTTCCTCCCCGACTGCGCCCGACGGCTGGACCATGGCGAGCTTTGTGACGGACCCGGCCCACGCCGAATCCACCGCTCTTGGTCCTGACACTGTTTCAGCCAACCCCTCGCGTCAGCAGAGCGTCGACCAACTCCCTAGCGGTACCGGCGACCACGACACCGACGACGGCACAGGGAAGAAGAAGAAAGGAACAAAGCGGAGGAAAGTGAACCATGCTTGCCTGTACTGTCGCCGGAGCCATATGACCTGTGATGAGGGCCGTCCTTGTCAACGCTGGTGTGTCTCGTACCCCTAGTATGAACGAATCTCGGACGGCATGTACTCATCACTTGTCCTGCACTCTCGCCCTGCGGCGTGCACAGTATTAAGCGCGAGATAGGGCACCTTTGCCACGACGAGCGGCGAACCTCGGCGAAGGAGAAGGCGTCTGCCCCTGCTGCTTCTTCCTCAATAACCAGCCCTCCTCTCGACGTCGCGAGGGGTTTGCCTGGTAAGTACTCTCCCCCGACTACCACGCCTAGAGCTCCGCCTGACGTCCGTGCGCTCGCTGCCATCTCGCAAAAACGCAAGCTGGACAATATAGTGCAGTAACAGTCGCGTCACCAATGAACGCAACATGGCCCGGGATGGGTATGAGCATGGCTCAAGGCGGGTTCATGTACCCCCCAGAGACCCTGAGTAACGAGTTCTCTGTCCTCTCGTACGTCTCAATTTTCTTTGGATCGGTGCATTTGCCCCGTCCGGCTGTGAGACTGCAAGAGGCCCAGCCGAGCCCACGATCAAGTGTCGATACTGCAGTGCCTTCAAATGCACCTTACGGCATATGCGCAGTCTATGCCGCTGGATGCATAGATAGGGATTTTGTTGGGCTCGACACTCGCAACCTCGTCATATCTCGCCAACCCTTTCCGCTCACGGCTTAGTCGTCTGGAGTCGTCGAATCAATATCAAGAATATGATCTCACGTGCTCTTCTGCCAACAGCGATTTTCTTGAATCATTGGACGATGGGTCGTTCTTCAGCCAGCCTCCTGCTGTGACTCCATCGCTAATGTCAAGCCCAACGTATGCCAATTCCGTCGCCCTAGGGGTGGACAACCCATACATTACACAACCTCCCGCCCTGCCTGCCCCTCCCTCCACGACCACAACCGCCGTAGCAGCATCTTCGTCGCCCGAACGAGAAAAGCCACCAGAAGAGCCAGCGCCTGTCGTGCTACCGGCTCCGTCCAAGACGGAGCGATTTTTCCTCACCGCTGCTGACCAGGCGTCAGGATCTCGTAATGAACGACTGAATATGGTCATCCGGAGCAAGTATGAGGCCGGCCTGTTGAAGCCATATAATTATGTGAAAGGCTATGCGCGATTATCGCGCTGGATGGACAGGAAGTACGCATCATCTTCATTGAGGCAGTTCTACTCGTTCTCACCTTCGATTTCGTCCGCAGCGTATCGCAAGAGTCCAAACAGAAGATCCTCCAACCCCTGTCCGTGCTCCGACCGAAATTCAGAGTGAGCCTCCGGTTGCGTATGTTGGGTCGAACTAACCCCTCTGCGTAGGCCATTGCTCAGTCCGAGTCGCTGACTGACATAGTACGCACTACGGACAACGGCCCACGCTGGCCGGTAGGCTGACCTCTATCTAGGACTTGGTTTTCATAGAAGAGGCTTTTGAGCGCCTGCTCCTGGATTATGACCGCGTGTTTTCCGCCATGGCAATCCCGGCGTGCTTGTGGCGCCGTACCGGCGAAATATACAAGGCGAATCGGGAGTTCGCTGAGCTGGTCGGCGTCGACGGCTATATGCTGCGCGACGTACGTGCGCATGTTTCATTATCTCCTCACGCGTTGAATGCTGAGGATACAACTGCGGGAGGCAGGGCCGAACATGCATTTACGAGCTCATGGCAGAGGACTCTGCAGTGAACTACTGGGAGGTATGTCGAGACGCACACAGCCTCTTCTCAGCGAGGAACCTCACGGTCACATTGTCTAGAAATATGGCAACGTTGCGTTCGACTCGAACCAGAAGGCGGTGCTCACGTCGTGCGTGCTCCGATACAAGCCCCTGCTTCCCTCGTCCGGGTCGGCTACGCCTGCGCGCGCCAAGGATTCACAGCCGCCACCGAACGAGGAGGGATTTATTAGCTGTTGCTTCTCATTCACCATTCGCCGGGACCCGTACGGCATTCCTACACTTATCGTCGGGAACTTCATCAAATGCTGACCGAGTTCCTTGTCGCGCTTCGTCAAGTCTGCTTTCGAACTTGGTTTGCTGTGGTAATGTATGCGGAGTTTCTAGCAGATGCTTTCGTAGTTCTCCCCACCGCGGTTCAGCGCGGACGGGGACGCGGCATCTTTGCATCTTGTATGAGTATCTCTTGTTTCGTGTCGAGTGGCTCTTTGTGCGATGGTGTCTAGTGCCCGAGAGCATTGGAGAAGCAATCAATGCCAGCTTCTCATGCACTGCACTACGCAGCACGCACGTTCCAATCGCAACAGTTAGGTTATCCGCAACTGCCTCCCCTGCGCTCGGTTAGCCGGAGCTTGGCGCCATCGTGCGCAGCTGGCTGTTCGATGGGCGGCTTCGCAACCTCCAAGGCATGCAGCTTGAGCGTGGCCTATTGCAGGTTCAACGTACCATTGTAATGACACAAACGGTGCTGCATCGGGGTTGAGGTACGGTAGCGGACCAGTAATCACTGATAGCAGTAGCGCGGGGCAACGATGCCTGTCCCGGACATTGCTTCGTACAGTATGCGGTGCTTCTTGCCCCCGCCCATCATCGTCCGTGCACCGCTCTCGCAGTCCTTTTTACCGCCCCGCCCACCTTTGCCAAGTCATGTTAGCAGCATGAGAACCCCGGAACTGGGAGGACCTGTCGCTGAACTTTGAAACACGCGCACCCTCACGGCTCCGAATGCCTCTGTGACTAGATTACTTTACATTTTCGAATATCTCTCGCCGGCGATAGCCACTAGCCACCTACCGTCCTCTGCTATATATCCCTCTATGCATCTCCCTTGAACTCCGTTTGCCTCCACTCAGCGCCCGACATGACGTCGACGGTGTCGGACCCGACAGCGCCGCGGCGCACCTTGCAGCGCGCCGCCAACCTCCTCACCAGCAAGGGCGAGCCTGTCCCCGCGATAGCCCACTCCATCCTGGCTCCCGACAACGGCGCACCTCTGCGGCGAAGACGGTCGTACGGCGGGGGCATTGGTGGGACGATCAAGCGCAGGTTCGACCAGGTCAGAGACGTCGGAACGAGCGTCGCGCGACGGGCGAGCTTGAAGCGGTCTCCCTCCTCCCCTCCCGACTTTCGCCTGCGCGAGACCACGTCTGAGCCCCTGCCTGAGCAGTCATCGGGCTCGTTCTTCACGCTCTCGCCTGTTGTGTGGGTGAAGCGGAGGACGAGCCACCGGCGCGCCCAGAGCGAGGTGTTCTCCAAGCGACCACGCGTTCAGCACGCCGATCCCGACTCACCCAACGCGGACTCCCCTTTCTTCTTGCCATCACCATCCGTGTCCAGATTCGAGCTCTCGAGGATGAACTCGTTGCACGAACTCTCGCTACGGACGCAGCAGGATCAGTCAGAGCAACCATCACCAGTAGCGCAACCCTCGACACCGATGGATGCGACAGTCCCGCGGCTCCTGCAGGCGGGTGTGCCGATGCTCAAGGTCTCTGCTAAGAAGCAGAAGCGATACATATTCAGACTCGACCCGGATCAGGGGCAGATCATATGGGAGTCGAAGAAGCTACGAGTCAGTGAGTACGAGGGCTAATTCCCAATCGCACGCATTCACTCATGAGGGTCGGCGCACAGTCCCGATTGAGAACATCAAAGAGCTACGCGAGGGCGCAGATGCGCGATACTACCGCGAGCAGTTCCAGCTGGCACAGGAGTACGAGGACAGATGGCTGACGATCGTCTACGTACTCGACGGCGGGTACAAGACGCTGCACCTCATCGCGGCGACGCGCGAGATCTTCCAGATGTGGGATGTCACCCTTCGCCGACTGTATGCGATCCGGCAGCAGCTCATGAGCGGGCTCGGGAACGCGGACATGCGCCAGGCAGTGTGGGAGAAGCAGTTCTGGAAGGGTGCGGACGATGAACAGGACCAGCGGCTCGACTTTGACGACGTCGAGCGACTATGCAGGCGGCTGAACATCAACCCCTCGCGGGAGGACCTCCTCAGACGCTTTCAGGTGCGCGCAATCCGGCTTTGTGTGCGAGGAAGCGACTGACGGCCTCTTATAGCAAGCGGACAGCCAAAACCGGGGTTATCTGGACTTTGCAGACTTTAAGCGATTCGTGAAGTCCTTGAAGGCGCGTCCTGAGCTCGACAGACTGTATAGAAGGCTCGTGAACGGCGGCGATGGGTTGACATTCTCATCGTTCGAGCAGTTCATGCGCGGTACGCAGAAGGTATATGCTTAGAGTCAGATGCCATAGACTCCTTGCTAACGTGATGCGCAGTCGTCACTCAGTAGAGACGAGCTCGAACACCTCTTCCTGCGATACGCTTCCCCTTCCAACTGCAGCAAGTCTCCCGGCTCGCCGCCGCAGACGTCGCTTGACCTCGCGATGCAGTCGGTATCTATCTCGACAGACGCACATCAGCAGCTATCTTGGGCTGAGGACAAGTCCAGCGGGAAGAGCACTTCTGCTATCGCTGTCCCATCAATAGATATGGTGACTATGTCGCTCGGCGGGTTTACGGCGTTCCTCCTGTCTGCGGACAACTGTGCGTTTTCAGACCAGCATGGGCGGATATACCACGACATGACACGACCGCTCCCGGAATACTACATCTCTTCGTCGCATAATACCTACCTCGTCGGGCATCAGCTGGTCGGCGAGAGCACTATCGAGGGTTACATACGAGCAC